CACACAAATGGCTGCATATCTGGACCGTGGCTTAAATGTACACGAACCCAGGACAGCTGGGGGTCAAGCGAAGATGCATGTTGCATATGACCGGTGACCAAACACGAAAACAACGGCAGAGTACCAATATTGACCTGAATCCATGTGAAAATGAGCTCACTCGCACAACTCACACGTACCATTGCATTGTCGTGTAGCATTCTAGGACAAAGTATATTAGCACTAGACAATGCAATAATGTTGTCTTGCCAAACAGCAGCCAAGATGGTGGAGGAAGGGGCACAAGTATGCAGTGGATACCTACTAGACATACGTGCCGTGCGTCAAAATTCAATTAATAGATACATGCATGATGCAAGTTGCATTTACAGAACAAACTGCATAGTGGTGACGTGCTTCCTCAAGTTGCAGACCTGTCTGGTATACTTCAACATTTGGCTCAATCTCGCAAAATTCCTTGGGTTTCTGGCAACTGTAGCATGAGGCCCGCAGGTGTCCAGATCGCAGACACAAGGTGAGCTAGAATCTGCCAGAACACTTGAGGACCCATCCTTGAATCCTGGTTTGAGGACATAAGTGAGCGTCGGCAAGCCGGAACTCTGGAAGGCTATTTTGTGAGTCATCAGGCGTTGCAGCGCACACGTGCTCCGTGCCTAGCCCGATCACGCTTTTCCCCTGAGTCTCAAGCAACTTTCACCATGCGATACATCTCGCCTCTCATCAAAGCCCGCATGAGCGCGTAGGAGTATGTTCAACATGCCGAGCCGGAGGTGCTTAGCATTTTTTTGCTCTCGTTTCAGCCATGCATGCGTCAAAGAAGGTCGACATCTTGGCGGCACAGCTTTGTAAACCGGAATATTGGCCCACGGAATTTACACACATGTCGGGGTCCAAATCACTGTTCTTGGCATGTGGTTTAGTTGTTGGTTCTTGGGTTAACAAGGTGTTTTGCCAACACATGGTTATGGCTTCTGCAATGGGGCACACCCTCGAACATGGTGAACCCAGGGGTTTGGACGTCAATCCGACCCTCAAAACACGGTCTCTTGTTGGTAGCGCACCCGTGGTTGGTGCGTGAAGGTCGTGTCGCCTTTTGCGAGGCCTGCAGCCGGGGTAGTGGTCACAGCCGGAAGACGGCCAGCCGGAGGGCGGAGAGGGGCAAGCCGCATGGGCGAAGGATGTGTTTGGTTCTCCGACCCAAAGGTGATAGCCATTGGGTTTTAGCCAATGGGTTCGGGCAGATTCTTGCAGCGGATACAACGTATTCAGAAGCCGGGGTGTTTGTGCGGGGTATCCATTCTGGAGCTCTCCTCCATGTGAGCGGCAGGCTGATGGAACTAAACATCTTGCGCTGCCCACGTTTCAGGTAATCCTTGGTTGGTGGATTAGTGGTTTAGCCCCTGCTTCTTGTAGAGGTACCTTTAACCTTCAAACCGCCAATACAAGCCATCAATTAGATCTTCCTAGCTGGCTGACCTGCCTAGCAAATTGGTGGCTGGCTAGCTTGCCAAAAAACTAGTTGTTAACCGCTCAGCCAGATAACTAGCTACTTAGCTGACTAACGTGTACTGTGCATGCTTTGGGACACAATGTCAGTACTTGGGGGTAATCCAGCACGGGATAGCCTACATACATACATACGTACATACATACATACATACATACATACATACATACATACATACATACATACATACATACATACATACCTACATACCTACATACCTACATACCTACATACCTACATACCTACATACCTACATACCTACATACCTACATACCTACATACCTACATACCTACATACCTACATACCTACATACCTACATACCTACATACCTACATACATACCTACATACCTACATACCTACATACCTACATACCTACATACCTACATACCTACATACCTACATACCTACATACCTACATACCTACCTATACCTACCTATACCTACCATACATACCTACATACCTACATACCTACATACCTACATACCTACATACCTACATACCTACCTACCTACCTACCTACCTACCTACCTACCCTACATACATACATACATACATACATACATACATACATACATACATACATATTAGTATATCCACAGTACACATACATGTATGTATGCGCATATACATATATAATTATATATATATATACATATGTACATATATGGCACCCCAAAACAGACCAGCTGCACAAATCCTCACTGTGTGTCATCCTTTTTCCGGTCATGCGTGTTGCTTTGAAGGTCGAACTGAGCATTCCTCACAGCAAACAAGCAGGATCTTAATGCGCAAAACTCACTTTGAAGGTTCTCAACCAACTTTCGAGTCTTTGTCCATTGGAGTAGGGGTTCGCTAGTAATCTGTTTGAAATAGTATTCAATTCTGGACAGCCGAAACCACTAAGTTGTTTCAATCAACTTAAACATGTGTTTTCTGGGATGGAGTATTGAAGATTTCACAAAAACGGGTTATATAAAGAAATCAAAGACACACCCGGGAAACAGTTGGTTCGAACGATGGTTGAAAAGAACGGAGAAAGGAATCAACCTCCCCAAATCATGGTGGATCGTTTGCAAGGGATCTAAAGGCAGCCCACCAATCAAACGGCCCCTTTCGGACCCCCCCCCCAAAGTCAAAGCAAGAAAAACACACCAACAAAAAAGCAAGACATATTTTACGACACACACACACACCCAAGGAATCAAACCCCAACAGTAGAACCAGGTTTTCTCGTTGCGACTTTCCAGCGTCGAATGCGATCCGCCAGGCGGCGATCAGATACTTCAGCGCTATGCTTTTGAACAACATCCAGCCGCAAAGGCCGAAGACGAAGGGACATGTCGGATGAAAGTAGATGCCTGTTGTTTTTCGTCAATGTCTTTGCGGAACCACATAAAGGGAATTGAGCCATGTTGAATACACCTTGGTGTATGTTGGAATTTGCAGAGACCATATGGGGGCTTCTCCCGTGGCTCCCTTCGCAGTAACCTAGGATAGCAGTGAATCAGGGTGGGTCGAGGTTGGGCCCAATTTATATTGCCAGACTTTGGCATGTTCGGGTGGTTCTACCTTCCGGGGTTGGAAGGACTATGTACTTGCTGGTTCTCAGCAGGGAATGAGTTGGAGAAAAACCATCCCCTATGGTTATCCCCTTCCTGTTCAAACCCAAAGCCGGAAGGTCATTCCCCACTGAGCACCAGCAAGTGTAAACCTACCATATTTTGGTTCTACCTTCCATGAACAAGAAAAGGTAGCAGGGTAGAATTACAACGAAAGGTGCATGTGTTTGGGGCACGGTCAACTCACAACTAGTTAAGAATCCAAAAATGGTAAACGGTGAGGTTATCCTTTCGGAGCGCAGGGAACTCTTTGCCCAAAAACCAGAACGAATTGAGTTTATTTCAGAGTCAGATTCGGCTTTTTCCGGTGTGACAAAGTACTGCAAGTAACATTTGAAATGTCGCATGCTCCTGAACCCCGGTCAGGTTGGAGCAATCAATGTTAATGATGTCGACTTCGGAATTAGCTCAGGATTCTACCGGAGGATTCCATGCTCCAAAAAGATCCTTTTCTGAGAAATGTCTTAACCCGTATGCAAGAGGTCCACTTCGGAAACTAGGAGTGGCTGGAGGGGTCCTTTTATGAGAGGGCGTGTTGTTGGTTGGGAACCACCTGATTGTTAGGCGGGCAGTATTGAGACAACCCCATATTCCCCCCCTAAGCTTTCTTCAGTGTGGGCAATCTAGTCTTCCCATCTCCTGCAGCAATGTGAAGTGGTCCCAAACATGGGGACCCTGTTCATCTGAAGCCAACAGGTGCCAACCTGCAAGACTACCGTATCTTCCCCAATGTTCCCAACTGTTGGTATGGTTTGAAGCAGAATTTGAGTGGTTTTGTCTCAAAATAGACGACCCACCAACATGGCTGATTTCTTTTGGGCGTCCCTTTAAACCCAATCAAAGGAAGGTGTACCTCCCACAAAAGACTGCCACCTCGAAATGAAGACAACCGAAGCCAATCTTTCCGCAGGTCGACGCTGGATGCGGTGGATCAAGTCGCCAGAGCCCGGGTGTGAACTCGATACATCGTAAGTTCACCGGCTCAGCAAGACCAGCGATTTGCTCCCCAGTTCAACGGAGGGAGCCCAAAACGTCACCATCTTTGGGATCTGAATCTCCAGACAGGGGCACCCCTTTCTTGGGTGTGTTAATTTGTAGAGGAACCCATGAAGGCGATTTGCTCTCAGGGCCTCTTAATTTCAGTTCGAGAAGTTTGCGTTTGCATGTCGTCGTGCTCAAAGCCTTCCATGGTCTCAGAAGATTCACTTTGCGGTTTGGTTCGGTTCTCATTTGGTGGTTCCCAGCCATCCGGTTCCTTGGGTTAGTCAGATGCTTAGTTGATTTAGTTGGGGTTCCCAGCTGACCCAGAAGCTAATCTTTTAGCAGGCGATCTGAGGACACCGAAAAGGATCCCCTTTTCACTGTTTTCTGGCGGGGTCACTGGGCAAGTGGGTGGGTGTACGTGTCTCAGTCCCTTGCCAACACCAATACATGAGGGAACCACTGACCTGTTCAACACACATCCCTTCGAGGGTTGAAGATGGGAAGAAAGCAGTGGCTGAGGTGGTCCTGGTTGAAGTCCCTACCCCCCCCCCCCCCCATGAACCGGTGGTTTCTCAAAATGGTGGACACCATCTTTGACCGGGTGGGAAACCAAAAGGAACCCGCTCATTTTCGGGGGACCGATTCCTATGAGCAGAACGCCTGAAAGCTGGAGAAAAAAACCGGGCGCTTTCCCGCTTCAGGTGGGCAAGGTGCAGCGCATGAAGCTTCTGGAGGCATGGCAGGAGCTATCCAAGCCGATGCAAAGGGGGGAGGGGTGGCTTGGGATCACGAGCTTTGCCTCGGTCCATTGAAGAAACTGGGCTGGTGACAGAGGTTGTACCGTGGGCCTTCATGTGTGTGTGTGTGTGTGTGTGTTTGTCCCCTAGCTGAAAGCTTGGCCGGATTTTCAGGTTGGGGGTTCCAGAAAAAAAGAAGACGCGGGCTGGGGATACCATGCGCTTATGACTGTTCTCGGGGTTGCCAACATGAGACCACCCCCTGCGCCTGAGTCAGTTGATATCTAACGGGAAGCCAACGGCATGTTTGGGGACCGATTCCCCCTGCAGTTTGAGACAAAAGCACCCATGTTGAAGGCCCATTATTGGGTGGTCGCCTCGAAAAAACTTAAAAGGTTTCTAGCCCTGCCAACAAAAAATATGGTTATCCATTGTTTCCCTTTAAGACCATCCCCCATAAAACCCCGCATTCCTGAAGGTTGCAATCATAAGTATTTTCGCTGGTTGAATGCATTATTCGAATTTGCCTTCCTTGGACCCTCCAACTGTGGCTGGTGATTTCTGATTTCAAGGGTAGTTTGAGGGTCTAGGTAGTTTGACACAATGCATGGGAGGGGTCCATGATGGTACATGCAAGTTCCGACTTAGAGATTCGGAACATGAAAGGAAGCCAAACCCTGGAGAGGTCCGATGCAGGCAGGAGGTTTGTCGGCCCCCAAAAGGTCGGCCGTTTGCCCCCCAAAAGCTATGCTCAGCACAATGGATTCTGGAAAGTAAGTCAGTGGTGGCCAACTTGCTTATGCCAGGATGCACTCTGGGTACACAGTGTCCAGTTTACCCATTGCTGCATGAAACAAGTTGCTCCGAGCCTCAAAATGAAGATAGATGTCCCACCCCCGGAAAAACCAAAAAGAACGCATGGCGAATGGGTCAAGGCCCAAGACCTCAACCACTTCTGGCGCTCGCTGCTTGCTCGCTTGCGGGAGCACTCAAGGCTTGTGGAAGGACACCCTTGCAGACCCCATGGGGCGCAATCCTTCCAAAAGGGACGGGTGCACGTTGCGCCATGCCATGGGAGAACCGAAAATTGGAGTCCCTTGTCGACATTCCTTTTGTTAAGGGGTCTATGCACCACTTCAAGTTTGCAGGGTACCCAGGCAGCAAGCTCTTTCTGCAGGATACGAGTGGCAGCTGCCTCAGGGTCTTGGTGGGGATCCCTTTGTTCAGGGAGGCAGGGTTGCTAAACCCTTTTTGTAGTTGGTTTTTCCAGGGATTAAGGATTAGGGTTGCCAACCCCACCATTTTGAGAAAGCAAAACCGTCTCTTCTAGGAGTGCCAGATTCTGTGCAAGGGTCCTGTTCAGAACAGAGCAACCAAATCCTGGAGTGGCAGGTTTCTGGGTGAGAATGGGGAGTACACCCTTAAACCAATGTGGGGTGCTTCCTAATGCGAACCTAATGTGCAGTTTTCGGCACCGCTCATGTTAGTGAAGGTTAGTCCTGCTTGGTGAACAGCATCTATCAAAGGTTAGGCAAGCTTTGTTCAGATTTGCCAGGGTTTTCCAAGGTTAGTCAAGGCTATTAGAATTTAGCCTAGTCAAGGTTACTTCAGGTTAGTCAAGGTTAAGTAAGGTCAGTCATGTCAACCATTTGCCAACGCACCCTCTCCGGCCTCACACTCGTGGTTTCCCTTGTTTAGTGCTCCCACTACACTTTTCGGGTTAGGAAAATCGGGATTACCACCATTGAACACTCCCTGCTCCACAAAAAACTAGTGTATGGAACATGGGCGTAACCTATGGCGATCTTGTCCATTTTGGCGTGGAACATCCATTTGCCACCCATGTTCATGTTCACCAGAGTTTTCCTGCATTGCCCACAGCCTCCGAGGGCCCAAGCGGCGGGAGGCCGCGGAGATCTCCGAGGTAGCGGCCCCAGGCCGGTGCGCAACCAGTTGTCCTGAAGGGTTTTCCTTCACCATCCTTCACCACCAAGAAGCGGGGTCTCACACCAAAAAGTGGGGGGGATAAATATCAAAGAAAGAGACACCAAGAAGTGGGCTTTGAATTTGTGAGCTTTGAGTTCGTCGTTTTGCCGTTGTGCTCACTGGCAGGAGTGGTTTCCAAGTACATGCTTGAATGGCCGAGCTATGCCCCATGCCCTTCGACTTCAAGACGTTTGGAGTTTAGAGGAATCGTCATATCCCACTAATTGTTTAGCTCTTTCCTTGCTTTCGTGATTCAAATATCACCGGTTGCTGCACCCCAGCCAGCCCATGATTGTTGCCTTATCCGTATCCCCAACTGTTGTTCGGGACCATTGGTGATTCTGGGTCATCACAGTTGCCTTCTGAGTTCTTGAAGTTGCCATTGGGACATGGTTGTCATTTAAACCACCATTTTGTGAGAGCAAAGCGTCATTCACCATTTAGGGAAATATTTATTTTTGGAGAATAGTATTTTGAGGACTGGCGAAGGGATCCTTTTGGCTGCAACAACCTCCAATCGAACCGTGGATGAAATTTGCTTCGCACCAGATGGATGAAAGCCTATGCAATGAACCACCTACTGGTGCGACATGGATTTGTCCATCTCCAGAGGAAACCTCTTTCTGCCAGCGACGCTCAGCATGTTATGATGGGTTTCCGCTTGTCGGTAGCCCATGTCTCGACTCAAACCGGTTTCTACTTGAACCCCAGACTTCTCAGCCCATCCTATTAATCTGGGTGGTGTTGGCCCCAAAAGCGAAGGATTCCCATCCGGCGTTTCCATTACCCAGCTGGTTCGTGTCTCTTCGAAAGCCCGGAGCACTTCCAAGGCCTAATGTGAAGTGTTTCACCCTTGGCCTGGGAGGCGAAAGATGTATGCTGTTTTATTGGGGCACGAATGAGCTTGGCTTTTGAAAGGTGCTTGTTACTATCTGAACACCAAGTGCATTTGTTGTTTCGCGAGAGAATTCTGTGTTGTTTTCAAGACCATTGATTGTCTCCGGGGCCATCTTGGAAGAGCACAGCACACACTTGCTGTGATGTCTTGCTCCTGAGTCAGTCAAGCCATCTTGAAGATTAGTTGAATCCCCTTTTTGCTCGAGAATTGGCGTAAATGTTTGTCAACAGGATGGCTTGTATCAAGAGCATTCGCAAAGCTTATGGGCCCTGCTACAGGCTTGGGGTGGAGGTATACAACAACAGATCATTATTTCCTATTATCCTGCCATCCATTAAAAATGTTAATTAATGCATCAGAATCGAACGATGAATCAAATAATTTAGTAGATTGAACATATATAGAATATTAGTAGAATCGGCGAAGCCGCTTGGCAGAATATAAAATGATATTGATTAAAATAATATAATGATTTATTTATATATGTTTTTTATATTTAATATTAAATAATTATTTTTATAATATATTCTCCTATAAATCGATATGGCCTCGAGGTCGTATTTCTTATGTATAGGTAAGTTGTTATAGCGGTACTCCGGCCGAATTGTCGTGTTTGTGGTGATAATTATGCTGGTATTGAATATTTTTTTTCGCGATATAAGTTTTCGTTTCTTTGTGCGGTTTGGAAGGCATCGAAATTTTGCCGAAATGTGGGGGGGGGGTTTTAATAACTTAGTTTAGGGTTTTTGCGATGTGCTTCGGTTAAAATTTCTCGTATATTTTTAGGTTTCCGGATGTTATTTTCCCGCAAATTTCTGTAGAAGTTGGTGAATTTCCGAAAAAAATATTGGGCCGAATTTCGGGGATAAATTTCGGGGAAATTTGGGAATTTTTTCGAGTCGAATTTCGAATATTTCGTGTTGGGCGTTTTTAGATTTTTGTTTCTTTTTATGTTTCTTAATCTATTTCCGTGCATTTATATGTATTTTATATGTGTTTCTCTGTTTATTTCCGTGTGTTTACGTTTGTTTATTTGGTAATGTGTGTTTATCTTTGTTTTTGTCTTTAATTTTCTTTTTGACTGTGTTTGTTTCTGTATGGGTCGGTGTATAAAGATGGCATATTTCCGTATTGGCGTCTCTTCTCTTTTTAAGCTTTGTTTGTTTCTTTTTTATCTTTCTTTTTTTATTAATTGTTTCTATTATTGTTTTTGCTTGGCTTGCTTATTTGCTTACTTGTTTGCTTGCTTTGCTTGTTTTGCTTTGCTTGTTTTGCTTTGCTTGTTTTACTTGTTTTTTGCTTTGTTTGTTTATTTGCTTGTTTTGTTTTGGTTTGCTTTGGTTTGCTTTGCTTTGCTTGCTTTGCTTACTTGCTTGCTTGCTTTGCTTGTCTGCTGGCTTTGATTGGTTTTGCTTTGCTTGCTTATTTATTTCCTTCCCTCTCTCTTTCTCTTTTTTCTTTCTTTTTCTTTTTTTTTCTTTCTCTCTTGTTTTTTCTTTTTCTCTTTCTCTCTTTCCTTTTTTCTCTTTCTTTTTCTTTTTCTGTCTCTTTTTCTCTTTTTCTCCTTTTCTCTCTCGTTTTTTTTTTGGGGGGGATTTGGTTTTGTATTTTATTTGTTTGAATCTTTTTATTTGAAAAAAGGAAAAAGGACAAAATATAATATGGTATATTTTTTTTTCTTCCTTTTTTTTATCGTTTATGGAATAAGGAATAATTTGCCTAGATCTTATTGGGATATCGACTGGAATTTTTACGGGATCGGAAATATTTATAGGAATTCATATTTTAATCTCGGGGATCTCCGCTTATAATAATTGTTTTTGCCATATATCTGCTTGTTTTTCTGTTTTCTCTTATCTTTATTAGTTTTTCTCTTGTTTTTTTTTTTTTTCCTTTTATGTATTTGTTTCTTCTTTTTCTTTTTTTTCCTCTTTGATTTTTTGGTTAGTATTGCCGTTGATAGAATTAATAAATTCTTTCGAATTATATAAAAATATAGAAAATACGAATATATTTTACGAATGTATTTTTTTAAGGTGGGGTATGTTTTTGTATTAAAATTATGGAAAATTATAAGGTTTTTTTTGTTTTTAAATAATTATTCTTAGTGAATTTGTGGTTATATAATAGATACGGAAAGGAGTTTTATTTGGTTATTAGGCGAATTGGCATGTTCGAATTGGATTTATTAAGATATATTTTATAAATATGATATTTTTATTGAGAATTTACGATTTATCGAGTTATTAATATAGACATATTTTAA